ATCTATGCCCCCCCCTCCACGCCTCATCATTTCACGGTATCCAAAGAGGTTGACCAGCCCCAAGGCCATCACTACCCACCCCCCCCCCACCCCCCCTCCCCGCCAACCCGGAAGCTGTGTTTCCTCAAGCCCACGTTATCTGCTCGAGAGCCACGCAGTCGAACAGGAAATCCTCTTCTTATGTCTAACCTTATCGAGAAATTGGTCAGGCTTGACTGTTCTGAGACGCGGAGAACGCAGTCTGACTGGACTCGCCTCGCAAAAGGGCCCAGCCGTCCTAAGGGGCTGGGGCAGTCTGGTGTTCAAACAGGGCAAGATCCGGACGATGCCCAGGCTTAGTGGCAAGTAACATCGGCGCCACGCAAATGCAGGATATCACCACCTCCAGCAAGAGACATCACTGACCCCCTGACCCCCCCCCCACAAACACCAATGTCCTGGGGGTCCCCATTGAGCAGAAACTGATCCGGGACTCCCAGCCCCATCTCAATCCTGTGGCTACAAGGAGCTGGGAATCCTGTAACTCCCCCCCCCGCTCTCCAAAGCCTGTCCCACCATCGACAAGGGAGGAGGGGGGAGGGGATACTCCCCACTTGCCCCTGGATGGTGGGGGGGGGGGGGAGATCCGACAGCACTCGGGAAGCTCGAAACCGTCCCAGGGACAAAGCAGCCCTCCACCCCCACCAAACATCCACAAACGCTCCCTCGCTCCCTCCAGGCACAGCCGCAGCAGTGTGTGACATCCGCGAGACGCAGCGACACACCATCCCGCCGCCTCTTACCCCCTTAAGGGGGCGGTGGGGGCAGCAGGGACGTGCACCGTCCCCTTGTAAGTTCCCCTTCCCAGCCCCGTACGTCCTAACCAGGGAGACATAATTGCCATTCCCTCTGGTGGATCTCTCTCCCGAACAACACCATGTTCCTACATCGCACGGGGGCTGCAGTGGGTCAAGATGGTGGACCCCTAAACCCTCCACCAACTTCCTGCGGGGGGGGGGGGGGTGGGGGGGAAAAAAGGGGACAGAGGGGGGCGATAAACGACGAGGGAACAGAAGACCTACCCTATGATCTCCAGTTTCACCTTGAGATGGTCTTTGCAAATGTTGTCTTCTCCACATTCCTTTTCGAACGGGAGCTGAAAGGGAGAGAAATTGAGGGGGTGGGGGTGGAACAAGGGGCAGGAGAGACGACTGGGAAAGGGAGAGGCAACGCCTCGCACCCCACCACCTCCCCTCCACAAACCACCACCCCCCGACCAGACCTTCCCACTCAAATCCCCACCCAGAGACCTCCCTGACCATTTGAATGCATCCCCTCCGCCCTCTTCCCAATGCCCCTTGCAGAGGGGAAGGCACAGAGTTGGGGTGGGGGGCGGGCAGAGGAAACAGAGCCAGGAAGGCTTCAGGAAATTCGTGGACGGTGATGGGGTTGGTTTTGGGGTGGGGGGCGGAGTGCGAAGGGGAAGACACTGGGGAGCAGAGCAGAGAGGACCGTGATTAACTTTCTCAGGCACTGGGGTGCAGACCAAGTTGGGTTGAGGGGTCGGGATCCGAACCAACGAAGGCCTCAGTTTGAGATGATATTTTCTTTCGAGGCCCAATCGGTTGGCCACCACACAAGGGAAAGGACGCTTCGGAGAGGGAATGGTGTACCAGGATGTTGCCCGGTTTGGTGGGTTGCTGGTTGGGGGGGGGGTGGTGCATTTTGGCGATGAAGAAAGGTTGGATAGACCGGGTTTAATTTCGTTGAGAACGCAGCAGGTTGAGGGGGTTAGGGGGTTGACCTGCTAGGTGTTTATCAGCGTGTGAAGGGGCGTGGATAGAGTGGGAAGCCAGAGGCTTTTTATTGTCTCCCACAGTGGAGGGGGTCAGCTACGAGGGGAGGGGAAGGTGAACAGAGACACGCGAGGAAGGTTTCACCACGCAGACGGAGGTGAGGGACTGGAACGCGAGGCCAGAGCAGGTGGTCGAAGTGGACACAACAGCTTCCAGAAACGGCTGAGCGAACAGGAAAGGGAACAGAGGGGGTACGGATCCTGTAAGGGACGGCAGTTTTAACAGGGAAGGTCAGAAAGTGTCAGCACAGCTTCGGAGGGCCGAAAGGCCTGTCCCCGTTCTTTGTTCGTTCATTCTCGGAGGGTCGTATGGGATGACAGAGATAGGGAGGGGGTGTAGGGGGTTACAGAGATAGGGAGGGGGTGTAGGGGCTGGAGGGGGTGACAGAGATAGAGAGGGGGTGTAGGGGCTGGGAGGGGGTGACACACACATACACACAGATGATCCCATTAATGTTCAAACTCACGTTGCCCTGGAAAGTGCCCGTGTTTCCGGACTGGAGAATGGGCGCTGGCTCGTTGGGTGGTGCCAGACCCTCCCCAGTGTAGTCCACCTTCAATTCGATGGGGTTCAGGAAATCCTGGATACAGCTCTGTGTGAGGAGAGGGAGAGGGAGAGGGAGAGAGAGGGAGAGGGGACACGGAGGACAGTAGAGTGAGACCAGGACTCGCTACAGGACTCCTGTTATCCCCACCCACACGCCCTCATCTTGCCCACACGACCCAATTTAGTTCCCCAACCCAATCCCATGGGGATAGATACAGAGTAAAGCTCCCTCTACACTGTCCCCAATCCCAGGGCCAGGGACAGCACGGGGGTAGATACAGATTAAAGCTCCCTCTAAACTGTCCCCCCACCATCAAACCCTCCCAGGGACAGGGACAGCACGGGGTTAGATACAGAGTAAAGATCCCTCTACACTGTCCCCCCCATCAAACACTCCCAGGGACAGGGACAGCACGGGGTTAGATACAGAGTAAAGCTCCCTCTACACTGTGCCCCCCATCCCAGAGCCAGGGACAGCACAGGGGGCTAGGTACAGAGTAAAGCTCCCTCTACACTGTCCCCAACCCAAGGACAGGGACAGCACGGGGTTAGATACAGAGTAAAGCTCCCTCTACACTGTCCCCCCCCCCATCAAACACTCCCAGGGACAGGGACAGCACGGGGTTAGATACAGAGTAAAGTTGCCTCACCTTCACTTGAATGGTCGGTGTCAGACAATGAGAATTTGTGAGTTTAAAGTTGCCGTGAATCTGACTGGTGAGTTCAGCTCGTTCGATCTTACGATGTTCATCCAACTTTAGCTCGTATTTGATGTGAAGGCTTGGACTACCTGCAGGAGAGATGAATAATGTGTCATCAAGTTGTGGGCTGAGGGCAGTTTATATACAGAATGACAGATACCCCCCGGGGAGGGAGTTACAGACTGGAATCTGATCGAGGGGGTTCGGGGGGGTTTATATACAGAATAACAGATACCCCCCGGGGAGGGAGTTACAGACTGGAATCTGATCGAGGGGGTTCGGGGGGGTTTATATACAGAATAACAGATACCCCCCCGGGGAGGGAGTTACAGACTGGAATCTGATGAAGAAATTTGAGGGCAGTTGTAGATTGAACAGCAGACACTCGGTGATTTCCTTTTGAGTAACAGATTTTCGATGCTGTACGTTTGCAACGGCAGAAACAACGAGGTGTAGCTTTCTGATAACCGGTGGAGCGTGGTCCATGTATAGAATAACATACCATCATGTGTCTGTTATTCTATACATACACCACGCTTTCTCTCTATTCCATACATATACTATGCTGTATATTTGGATAGAATGACGGATACAGGGTGGTTTATGTAGAGGATGGCCATGACAAGCGGGTCAACATTACCGAATCACGGCCACAGGGTTATTTACGCAAAGAACAATACAAATGGGGAGGCTAACAGGCAGGAAAATTGACGTGGGATAGTTTGATATCGAATAAAAGATGCCGGGTTGTTTATATGTGTCCGACAGCACGTGTGGGAGATGGTTTCAACACAGAACAACATATACAGAGTTGTTGATATACAGAATAGCAGACAAGAGATAGATTGGATGGAGGATGAGAGATACAGGATGGTGCGTGTACACAGTAACAGATAGGGGGGCGGTGCGTGTACACGGTAACAG